CCATGAGATTATCTCCCACTAACCATCTAGAAATTGGAAGTGGAAGTCTGATAGAGTGCTAATATTGAGCATAAAATAAGCTTGGGGACAGTGCCTATATGCTGAGTTCAAACCCCATGACCCACCAAAACCAATAGTGCTTCAAAGACAAATACGAGTGATGCTGATCAAGATGCATTGTATTTATAATCTGACTTGTGCAATTGAAATCCCTTTTTACAACTAATTTAAATTTACAAAAATTAGAAAGACAAATAGGAGTTGAACAGACTCATATTCACAAAGGAGAATGTCATACAAGTGCAGTCCAAATCACTGAGAGGTAACTGTCAGAACAAAATACATCTTGAACATTTTTTAGTGATCAAATAATTCAATCCCAGATGCCATAGATCAATCTTTTAACCAAAGGGGTTTGTATGACTCACTTAGCATGGAGTAATATTACTCAGCTTTTTATTTTCTTCTAACAAGAGTGATGGTTGCTGAAAGCAGGAAAGGCATTTTCCTACTTTTCTTCTCTGGAAATAAGTGGGTGGTATCTTAGCAGAGATAATAGATTTGTTCTGTGTGGTATCATTGGACATCTCAATTTGTTCAGCTGACTGTCTTTTAAATAAATGTGTGTGGGCATAGGTAAACAATGCAGTCATAGCTAATTCCGTAATTCTTTTTTTATAGTCCATCGTGGAGCTTGAACTCGTGGCCTGGGTGTTGTCCCTGAGCTCTTTTGATCAAAGCTAGTACTCTACCACTTTGAGTCACTGTGCCACTTCTAGTTTTCTGGTGATGAGTTGGGGATAAGAGTCCCATGGACATTCCTGCCCATTCCTGCCTTTGAACAGCTAACCTCATATCTCAGCCTTCAGAATAGCTAGGATTGCAGGTGTAAGTCACCAGTGCCCAGCTCTAATTCAGCGTTTATAAGGTGAAATAAAAGGACTTGTCACAGCTGCAAACACTGTTTGTGTGCAACAAATAAGTGTGAATGTGATACTTGCAATTTTTTGAAATTCAAACAGAAGGATGACAGGCTTCCTTCTCCTATTTTGTCTCCAAAAGGAGTGCCAGCAACAGAGAAAATCAAAATGTAACTCATATCCCAAAATTCTTCCTTCTGGGCCTCTCAGATGATCCAGACCTGCAGCCTGTTCTCTTTGGGCTGTTCCTGTCCATGTACCTGGTCACCATGCTCGGAAATCTGCTCATCATCCTAACCATCAGCTCTGACTCCCACCTCCACACCCCCATGTACTTCTTCCTCTCCAACCTGTCCTTTTCAGACATCGGCTTCACCTCCACCATTGTCCCCAAGTTGATGGTGGACATCCAGACTCACAGCAGAGCTATCTCCAATGTGGACTGTATGACACAAATGTTCTTTTATGTCATTTTTGGATGCTTGGATGACATGCTGCTGACCATCATGGCCTATGATCGGTATGTGGCCATCTGTCACCCCCTGCATTATACAATCATCATGAACCCTCAACTATGCTGCTTCTTTTCATTGATAGCAACATTTATTAGCATCTTAGCCTCACTGATGCACTATTTGATTGCCTTACAATGTACCATCCTGAAGGATATGGAAATTTCCAATTTCTTCTGTGACCCTTCTCAAATCCTCAACCTTGCCTGTGCTCATACTTTGACCTACAATGTAGGCATATCTTTGATCTTCCTCCTCCTTGGCTTTCTTCCAATCATGGGCATATTATTTTCATGCTATAAAATTGTTTCTTCCATTCTGAATCTCCCATCTCTAGGTGGGAAGTACAAAGCTTTTTCCACCTGTGCGTCTCACCTGTCCATTGTGTGTTTATTCTATGGGACAAGCTTTGGGGTGTATGTTAGCTCGGCTCTCTCTCATTCTCCCAGATTTGGTACAGTGTATACAGTCCTGTACACAGTGGTCACCCCCATGCTGAACCCCTTCATCTATAGCCTGAGGAACAAGGACATCAAGAATTCCCTGCATCGGCTTCAGAGAAGTACACTGTGATCTGATCTTTGTAGTTCATTTGGGAGCACAGTTGGGGGGAAAAAACAAATACAAGTAAAATTTTTTACATGGGTGAATCAAGCAGGGTATCTTTGTCATTTGTAGATTGTATTTGCTTATTGTATTTCATAGCAAAATGGAGAGGTCCATGTTTGATATGAATAAGAATATATTTAAATGGATAACAATTTCTCACTGGAATGGCTCATGGCTGTAATCCCAGCTACTCAGGAGACTGAGATCAGAGCATTTCAGTTCACAGCCAGCCTGGGCAGGAAAGTCCATGAGACTCTTATCTCTAACTAATCACAAGAAAAAATCAGAAGTTAATCTGTGGTTCAAGTAGTAGAACAGTAGCCTTAAGCAGAACAAAAAGAGAAAAAAAAAAGAAAATAAAAACTTAGGGACTGGGACCAGGACCTGAGTTCAAGCCCCAGGATTTGTACACATCCACAAAATTTCGCCTTGGGATAGCAAAATATTGCTGATGGTGAGGGACTTGATGGTTGTATTACATTGTGAATACAATTGAGAAAACTAAACAGTGCACAGAAAATCATAAAGGGCATATCCTTTGCATCTTACCACCAAAAAATGTGTATAAAATGGCACATGGGTTTTTTAGAAAGCAAACCATACCCAGAAAATTATCTGGTTTGGGGCTGGGAAGTTGGCTCAGTGGTAGAGTGCTTGTCATGCATGCATGAGGCCCTGGGTTTGATTCCTCAGCACCACATAAGCAGAAAAAAAAGCCAGAAATGGTGATGTGACTCTAGTAGTAGGGCACTACCCTTGAGCTGAAGAGGTGAGGGACAATGCCCAGGCCCAGAGTTCAGCCCTCATGACAGACAAAAACAAATTACCTGGTTCTGTTTTCATATATTACATTAAATAAGATGATTTGCATATTAGTACTGTTTTTATCCACCCTTCCTCTGACCCTTCATTTGCTTATAATCCTAGCTACTCAGGAGGTTCTGACCGTCTTTCTTTTGCAATTTTATCTTTATTGAAATGGTGATGAGCAGAGGGGTTACAGTTGAAAAAGTTAGGAATGAGTACATTTGTTTTTAAACACTGTTACCCCATCCCTTATTTTCTCACTACTTCCCTCCCTCCCCACAAGTTTTAAAGTTTATTTCCAACGTAGTGAGAATCAATGTGTTACTTCATCCTTAGTCATACTGTGATTCTCTGCTGTGATCCTTCTGTGATTCCCTTTCCCTTCCAAAGATTGAATAAACATATGCAAGACACAAGGTACAGAAAACTGAGAGAGAAAAAAAGAAATAACTGCATACAGGACATAATAAGAACCTCTTGTTTCCAATTCTTGGATTCATGTAGATATACTTCATTATATATGTTCCAGTGTGCTAGCAATTCGGTTATTGAGATCCCATGTTAAGAGTATCATAGGATATTCTAGTTCTTCCAAATGAGTAAAACCATGCAATCTACTTTTATTGGGTCTGGCTTATTTCGCTTATTATCAATTTTTCCAGGTCTTTCCATTTCCTTATGAATGAGGCAATGCCATTCTTTCTGATAGAAGCATAGAACTCCATTGTGAATACACATATACTTGTATATACACATATACTTGATCCATTCATCTGCTAAGGGGCATGTGGTTCCATATCTTAGCTATGGTAAATAATTCTACAGTAAACATGGTTGTGTTGGTAGGTTTAGTATGGCCTTATTTGTGATTGTTTGGATAAGTGTCCAGAAGTGGGAATGCTGGGTAATAGGGGAGTTCTATGTTTAATCTTTTGAGGAACCACCATACAACTTTCCAGAGTGGTTGAAAAAGTTTACACTACAACCAAAAGTGCAACAGGGTTCCGTTTTGACCACATCCCCTCCAGCATCTGTTTTTTTTAGGTTTTTTTTTTAATAAGTTTTTTATTGTGAAAATACCATACAGAGGGATGACAATTACATGAACAAAGTAATGAGTACATTTCTAATCAAGTATTGTTACATCTACACTCTCCCCCCCAACCTCCCGCCAAACTTGTAAAGTTCATTTTTTGACATAACAACTTCTACATCTCATTATTGCAATGGGTCCCCCAGTATCCCTAATTAAACAATTTGTTTTTTCCATTCCCATCCCCAAATTGTACCAACATCAAATACAGTGAAAACAGGGGTTATACCGTGGGGGAGGGACATACAAAGCAAGTGAAAAATTACCTTATAAATATATTAGAAACAATAACGAGATAGAAAAAACCACTTGTGTCCTAATCTTGGGGTTCATTTTGCTTAACATCATCTTATCTGACCTTTTCTGCTTATCTCAGACATATACTAGCTATTGCAAATAAGGGAAACCATGGGACCTATGTTTCTTTAGGCTTGGCTTACTTCACTCAATATAATTTTTTCCAAGTCTTTCCATTTCCTAACAAATGAGGCAATGTTATTCTTTCTGATGAAGGCATAAAATTCCATTGTGTATATATACCACATTTTCTTGATCCATTCATCTACTGAGGGGCATCTGGGTTGGTTCCATATCTTAGCTATAGTAAATAATGCTGCAATAAACATAGTTGTGCTGGTAGCTTTAGTATTATCTTGTTTGTGATCATTCAAGTAAATGCCCAAAAGTGGGATTTCTGGGTCATAAGGGAGCTCTATGTGGAGTCTTTTGAGGAACCTCCAAACTACTTTCCAAAGTGGTTGAACAAGTTTACACTCCCACCAACAATGCAGTAGGTTTCCTTTCTGTTCACATCCCCACCAGCATCTTTTATTATTAGAGCTCTTGATTATAGCCATTCTGACTGTTGTGAGGTGGTATCTCAATATTGTTTTGCTTTGCATTTCTTTTATGGCTAGAGAGGTTGAGCATTTCTTCATGTGTCTATTGGCTAGCCTTCTTTCTTCTTCAGAGAAGTTTCTCTTTAAGTCTTTAGCCCACTTATTTATCAGGCAGTTGTTTCTTTGAGGATTTGTTGTTGGGGGGGTATAGTTTTTTGAGTTCCAAGTATTTTTTTAGATATGAGACCCTTGTCCATTATATAGCTAGTGAAGATCTTCTCCCAATCCATGGGCTTTTTATTGATCTTGCTAGCTATGTTCTTTGTCATGCAGAAGCTCTGCAATTTCTTGCAATCCCATTTGTCCAACCTTTCTTGGATTTGTTGTGTTTCCGGGTCTCTATTCAAAAAATTTCTTCCTGTGCCAAGGAGACCTAGGGTTTCTCCTATTTCATCCTGTAATGTTTTCAGAGTGTCTGCTTTGACTCCGAGGTCTTTGATCCATTTGGAGTTGATTCTGGTGCAGGGTGATATATAAGGATCTAGCTTTAGTTTTCTACAAGTAGTTAGCCAATTTTGCCAGCCCCATTTACTGAAGAGGCTGTCTTTCCCCCATTCTAGTTTTTTAGCTCCCTTATCGATAATTAGATGGCTATAGGTCTGTGGGTTCATTTCTGGGTTTTCAATTCTATTCCATTGGTCCAGGGGTCTCTTCTTGTGCCAGTACCAAGCTGTTTTGATTATTATGGCTCTCTAGTAGAGTTTGAAATTTGGCATTGATATTCCTCCAGCCCTGTTTTTTCTGTTAAGGACCATTTTTGCTATTCGGGGTCTTTTATTGTTCCATATGAATTTTTGGATTGCCTCTTCTATTTCTTTGAAGAATGAGGTTGGAATTTTGATAGGTATCACATTGAATTTGTAGATAGCCTTTGGAAGTATTGCCATTTTCATGATGTTGATCCTTCCAATCCAGGAGCATGGGAGGTTATTCCACTTTCTAAGTTCTGTTTTGATTTCCTTTTTCAGGTTTTTAAAGTTTTCATCATAGAGGTTCTTCATTTCTTTGGTTAATTCCTTTCTATCCCTCCCCTCCTTTTCTTCTCTCCATATCATTTCTTCATACTTACATAATTTTTAAGTGTTTCTTTTTTTAATTTAAATTTTTGTTTTTCATTTTTTCTTGTTTTTTAATCTCTTTCCTATCGTTTTTCACAATCTATTTCCCTCTCTGAGTATGAGGACTTGGTTAAATTCACTTTCTTTTTACCTCTCCACATCCCGCTAATCCTATTTTTCTCCACATTTCTCCCTAAACCTAATAATTTCTGGTTTGCTGTATCCCTCTTTGCTATTCTTAGCCCATTAATCCATAGTTGTTTGATGTTCAATAGATTGTATCTGTTGAACTTGGTTGTACCTGTAGCCATTTTGACTATGCAGCTACAGGACTCTGGTTGATGTTTGCCTTAAAATGGTGTTCTAGCAAAAAACTGGTGTTCCTTTTATACTAAATGGGCAGAACAAGCTGGAGAAAAACAAGAAAAATGGAAAGTCCAGGCATCTCAACTTCTACTCATGATAATCAGGTGACAGAACCAATAATGAATGTTCCAGAGGAGAGTTCCCAAAAAACTATAAATACTACTGGTAAACATGGAGAATGAAAGATGATTGAAAACCTGCAAAGGACTCAATGTGAGCATGATAGGGAGCAAGAGGAAGCAAACCAAAGATTAATACAGGAATCTCATGAACATGATGAAACTACTCAGATTGTTATTAGATTTATTGATGATAGCCATTCTAACCAATGTTGTTTTGGTTTGCATTTCTTTTATGGCCAGAGATGTTGAGCATTTCTTCATGTGTCTATTGGCCATTTTTAATTCCTCTTCAGAAAAGTCTCTCCTTAAGTCTTTAGTGCTCTTGTTAATGGGGTGGTTGTTTCTTTGGGGATTTGCTTTTGGAGAATTTAATTTTTTGAGCTGCAAATACATTTTAAATATGAGGCCCTTCTTTGTTGTGTGGCTTGTAAAGATATTCTCCTAGTCTGTGGGTTTTCTATTTATCTTGCTAGCTATTTCCTTTGTCATGAAGAAGCTCTGTAGTCTAATACAATCCCATTTATCTAACTTTGATTTGTTGTATTTGTTGTGTTCCTGGGTCTTTATTAAGGAAGTTCCGACCTGTGCCAAGGAGTCCTAGTGCTTCCCCTATTCTTTC